GCGGCTTATCAATTCTGTTGATCATTTCAGAAACCAGCTTCTGGTTTCATTGATCTGTTCTATTGTTTTTTTTTAGTTTCTATATCACTTATTTCTGCCCTAATCTTTATTATTTCCTTCCTTCTGCTGGCTTTAGGCTTCATTTGTTGTTCTTTTTCTAGCTCCTTTAGGTATAAGGTTAGATTGTTTGAGATTTTTCTTGCTTCTTGAGGTAGGCCTGTATTGCTATAAACTTCCCTCTTAGAACCAATTTTGCTGCATCTCAAAGGTTTTGAGTCATTTTTTTTTCATTTTTGCTTGCTTCCATGTACTTTTTGATTTTTTTCTGGTTGACCCATTCATTATTTAGTAGTATGTTATTTAACCTCCGTGTATTTATGATCTTCCAGATTTTTTTCTTGTAGTTGACTTCTAGTTTCATAGTGTTGTGGTCAGAAAAGATGCATAGTATGACTTCAGTCTTCCAAAATTTGTTGAGACTTGTTTTGTGGCCTAATATGTGTTCTATTCTGGAGAACAAATGTTCCATGTGCACTTGAAAAGAATGTGTATTCTGCTGGTTCAGGGTGGAATGTTCTGATTATATTTGTTAAATCCATCTGGTCCAGTGTGTCATCCAGAGTCATTGTTTCTTTGTTGGATGATCTGTCCATCAATGTAAGTGGGGTGTTAAAGTTCCCTACTATTATTGTATCACTATTGATTCACTCCTTTATGTGTGTTATTAGCTGCTTTATGTATTTGGGTGCATAAGTATTTACAATTGTTATATCTTCTTGTTGGATTGTCCCTTTTATTATTATATAGTGCCCTTGTCTCTTTTTACAGACTTTGTTTTAAAGTCTATTTTGTCTCATACAAGTATTGCTACTCTGGCTTTTGACATCCATTTGCATGATAAATGTTTCTCTATCCCCTCACTTTCAGTCTGCAGATGTCTTTAGCTCTGAAATAAGTCTCTTGTAGGCAGCATATAGGTGAGTCTTGCTTTTTTATCCATTCCATCACCCTACGTCTTTTGACTGAAGCATTTAGTCATTTTACATTCAAAATAATTATTGATAGATATGTATTTGCCATTTTGTTACTTGTTTTTGTAGTTTTTCTCCAATCCTTTCTTCTCTTTCTCTCTTTCATGGTTTGCTGGTTTTCTTTATTGATATACTTGGATTCTTTACTCTTTTTTTGCATATCACTGTTTTTTGATTTGTGGTTACCATTTGGCTTATATATAATATCTTCTGCATGTAAGAGTTTGTATTAAGCTGATGGTCACTTAATTTTGAACTCATTCTTTATTCCTCTCCCCTCCACATTTCAGATATTTGATATCATATTTTTCATCCTTTTATTTTGTGCTTCTCTTGACTGGTTTTTACAGATATACTTTTTTTTTTTTTTTTGCTTTCATGCTTCTATTTTTATTTTTACTTAGGGTCTTTGTTTTCTACTCACAGAGTCCCCCTTAACATTTCTTATGGGGCTGGTTTAATGGTCATGAATTCTTTTAACTTTCTTTGTCTGCAAACTTTCTCTCTCTCTCTCTCTCTCTCTATTCTGAATGATAGTCTTGCTGGATAAAGTATTCTTGGCTGCAGATTGTTCCTTTTCAGCAGTGAATACATCAGGCCACTCTTCTGGCCTGCAAACTTTCTGCTGAAAAATCAACCAATAGCCTTATGGAATTTCCTTTGTATATAATTGCCTTTTCTCTTGGAAACTTTAAAATTCATTCCTTATCTTTTTTTTTTTTTTTTTTTTTTGCCATTTTAATCACTATGTGTCTAGGTGTGGATCGCCTTGGGTTGAATCTGTTGGGGGAATCTCTTTACCTCCTGAATCTGGATCTCTGTTTCCATCCCCAGATTTGGGAAGTTTTCAGCTATCATTTCTTCAAATCCATATTCTGTCCCCCTTTCTCTCTCTTCTTCTGGCATCCCTATAATGTGATTGTTATGCTGAGTTCTCTAAGTCTATTCTCATTATGCGGTATTTGTTTGTCACCTGTTTAGCTTGATTGCTTTCCATTACTCTATCCTCAGGTCACTGATACATTCCTTTGCTTCCTGTAGTCTACTACTTATTCCATCTATTGCATTTTTAATTTCAAGTATTAAGTTCTTCATCTCTGATATTTTTTATCTCTTTGTCAGGGGTCTCATTGATGTCCTCCATGCTTTTCTAAGTCCAGGGAGTATCTTTATGATCATTACTTCAAATTCTGTATCAGGCATATTATTTCTGTTTCACCTAGATCTTCTGCTCTGATTTTGTCCTATTCTTTCATTTGGGACATATCTCTCTTGTCTCTTCATTTTGTCTACCTCTCTGTGTCTGCTTTTCCTGTGTGTTAGGTCAGTCAGATGTGTCTTCTGCTCTTGCAAGTAGTGACTGTATGAAGAGGAGGTCCTGTAGTGCCCTGCAGGGCAGTGGCTTCTGTTCACCAGAACCCGGCACTTCAGGGGAGTCTCCTACTTGTGTTGCTTGTGTCCTGCTCTTGTGTCTGAGTCCCATTACCTTTCAGGCCAGATGTCTGCATGGACTCTCTGTTGTGGCCAGTGCTTGCTCTCTGTGATGTTCATGAGAGCCAAGCATGTAGGGTCTCAGGAGGCATGACCACAGAAGGACTGAGGGGCAGGGCAGCAGTGTTAGCAAAATTTGCACTGAGCTGCTGGTCCCAGGTTGTATCCCCTGCAGCCTGGTGGCTGCCGCGGGCAAGTCCTCAGAACTCGTGGGCAGAGCACATTGCTAGTGAGGTAGGTAGCAAGTGTCTGTGCCATGCCACCTCCCTCTGGTGGCTCTGTTTATGCTGGGGGGCAGGGGAGGAAGATAGTGCCTGCCAGCTCCTTTGTTCCCAGAGGAGTCCCCCCAGCTCTCTCTGAAATTACTATAATCAGATCTCCCTCCTGTTGTGCATACAGTGGCTTCTATGTTGATTCTCCTTCGGTTGTTGTCTCTTCAGGGGCAGAGACCCAGCTATTACTTTCTATCCTGGCTCAACCAGTGCTAACAGTGCTAAGTCAGCTGACTTTTAAAGCTCCAGGCTCCCAGTCCCACTGGTTATACAGACTCACAGAATTCAGCCCCTCTGGTTTTCAAGGCCAGATGTTATGGAGATTCATTTTCCCTGTGTGGGCTCCCTTGTGTTTTCCCCTCTCTGTGTCCACAGCTCTCTCCCTCCTTTGGTCAGCTCCAAACCACCATGTCTGCTCTTCCTAACCTCTCTAATTCCTAACCTCTCCAACAAGGCTGCTTCTCTACATTTAGTTGCAGAACTTGTTCTGCCAGTCCTCGGATAGCTCTCCAATTTATTTTCTTGCATATGAGTGATAACTAGTTGTAAACGTGGGGCGGAGTGAACTTAGGGTCCTCCTACTCTGCCATCTTCCCAAGCCTCTTTTTCTATCAGAGCTGATTTCTTTATATTTTCCTTTCCTGCCTCAAGGCTAAATAAACTTTAAGGTAAAGTCCATAAAATTCAGAACATTTGGGAAGAAGAGTTTGCTGGAGCACTCTCTGAAATGACTGATGATGTCTGCTCCTATTTGTGAGAAGCAGTGATTTTTTGGGGGCTTGTCCTTTTGTATTTATGTTTTCAGTACTTCAGTGAGATCTAGCAAGATGTTTTAAGCTGGTGCTGGGGTAGAATAATTCTCAAGACTTAGAGGAAGTTTAATTTCATAGCCTATGCAACAGCAATTAGCATTCCAACCCTTGCTTTAACAGAGAATCACAGGGTTATTTTATGGTTTGTTAGGAATCATCCTCCACGCCCTGTGAATGAAGGGGATGCCATGATCATTTACAGGGCTGCTTTTCCTTTGGGAGATTTTGTTCTAATTTACCTTCGCTCATTACCGATTCATGAGCTGCTGTTTTGGCTAAAGGATGATGGAGGAGGAATATTAGGTGAGAGGCTAACAAAATTTGCTACAGACTCTTCCACCATCTCTCTCCTTATGGGATTTGCTATAAAAAACCCTACTCAAGACTTTCTTCTCCTCCATCCCTCCCCATGAGTGCTTTTTTCCTATTAAGGTCCTCTTGTAAAAGGACTGCATTCACGGTGCATGTTTCTGTCATTTGCTCTTTACAAGGTACTCTGCTTTTATTAAGCACCAGTCCATAAAATGTTCTGGGTTTTTCTGTTCCCCACTGGCAGTTGATTTTGACTTAGTGGGGAGATAGGAAACCCCTCAACATTTCTAGCTCAAGTGGAGTCTTTGGTTAGATGGCAGAACAGTTTAGCTTTGAAGGCTCTTTGCTGCATCATTAGACTAGTTTGTAATTATTTTATGGTTAGCGCAAGGTATGTTGAAACTATTATTTCTGAAAGTGGACTTGGAGTTATCTTGGTAGATAGGTGTTTGTTTATTGAGTCTTATCACTTTAAAATTAGAGGTGGCTTTTTCAAGTGTAATACTAGCTAATCTCAGCTGATTTCTGAAGTGTTATTTTTCTGAATACTTGTTTATTTAAAGATTGTACTTGGAACCCAGCAGATAAGGGAGTTGTATAGATAGTCCTTGGTAGATACTTGGTACATATAGTAGATAATAGAGTAGGAATTCTTGGCTTATGGAAACCAAGCACAAACTACTATTTTGCATGTGTTACTCTGTTTCTGATTTGGATTACGTGAACCCACCCAAATTTATTCAACATAAGAGGAGTGTTTTTCTGTTCCATCAAACTCTAGATTACTTTGGGACTTTTCAATTCCATAGCACTAAATGTTGATAGTTAAAAATATACAGATGTACATGTACATCTATATACCTAAACTCTCTAATATTTGTGCCCAAGAGTGATTGATTTTAATTAGTTTGTATGATAGCAGGTTGACTGGGGGGAGTGCAGGGGACAGAGAAAGAGGGTTACAATATCAAATCACTGCACACAAAAGCACCCTTTTTCAGCATCACCTTGATTTATTTTCCTAGTCTTTTTTTTTTTTCCTTCTGAGGAAAAAAAAAAAAATTTCATCAAGAAAACAAATGTTCCTGCCAAAGGTAAAGAATTTCTTTTAATGCTTTTCTTAAAAAAAGTCAACATTGAATTAGAGCATGCTGTGCCCCCTTCCCCATTTTGCTGACCAAAGTTTTTTGTTTTTTGTTTTTTAATCCACTGGCAGAAAACAAGATATTTTCCTCCGATAGGATGATTATATTTTATTGCTGCTTTGTTTAGTATAGATTTTTCTCAATTGGGAAAAAAAGTCTAGGTGAAAAAATTATCTAACAAGAAAAGTAGTTTACATGGTCATAACACGTAAATTGCTGCCAAAAGAAAAAAAATGTAAAAAAAAAAAGATTTTAAATGTAAAATATCACATAACTTCAAAAAACTTACCTCAATTTTCTACCATGTATCATGTACTATAAGTCAACTTTCTAAATAGGATTACAGTCCTTTATTATAAGCCCCTAGTGGTCCTATGGTATACATTTAAAAAAAACACTACTACAAAATTTTTCTGTTCTGTTTCTGCCTATTGTGTACTTAAGCTATAGATAATTTTTGAATAAAAAGCCTACATAGGTATAAATGCAATAGTTAACTGATCCTGTTTGCTGATGTCCTTTTCATGTTCCACAGAAGGTGGCATCTATTAGTCCAGCATCTTCTCCTGCTTCTTCCCCTCCTTTTTCTTTTTCTTAGATTCTGCTGTGATAAAAAAAATAGAAAAAGAAGCACCGCATTAGTAAACAGTGGGGGCACTTTTCTTATACAGTAAACCCTTGAACAATGCTCAGGTTGAGGGCGCCAACCCTCCGTGCAGTCAAAAATCTGCATGTACTTTGTACAACCCCCAAACTTAACAGCTTACTGTTGACTGGAAGCCTTACTGATAACATACATAGTCCATTAACACATATTTTGCGTATGTATTATATACTGTATTCTTACAATAGAGCAAGCTAGAGAAAAAAGTTGATATAGTTTTATAAAAAAAAAAAAAATCACATCTAAGTGGACCAAGCAGTTCCACCCCTCATTTTTCATGGACCCACTGTCACTTTCCAGGAATGAAATGATTAGATGGAGAGACAAGGTACATGTGCGTGCCAGGGGAGTGCCTAGAATAGGCCGGAGTAACACAGCCGTCCTCATGTGAACCTCCTGTAGATGCCGGTCATCTTATTGGTTGCCCCCATTTGATAGAAAAAATACTGAGGGTCCTGCTTAGAAAAGAGAAACAGGGCAGACCTCCCTGAGAGAATACACCAGGATACTCACTGCTCAATGGAGAGCTATAAAAGCTCTGCTTAGCCCCTCACTCCCCATACGCCCTTTCCATGGGGCTGTTGATAAGCATTTTTCCTGCCAATTTCAAAGTGCCTCCTCTCCTGATTTGCCCTTTGCTTATATATTTGCCAGCTATTCATACTTGAAGGACCAGCTGTGAAACACATGGAGCTTTGACTCTATACTAGTCTTGGAGGAAGCAAATGGAATGTACCAACCTGGGCTACACCAGGTAAGTAAAACCATGAGGATTTAAATCAAAACATCCCATTCTTTTCCATTCAGTCATCGTGCTGTCTCCCTTTGCCTAGGCAGAGGAGAATGCAGTGTAGAGTAGGACATGTCAACTTGGGCTCCAAAGATGAGAATGGTCAGAATCACTAGGCTACCAAGTGAAAGGATGTTGCTCAGTGTTTGTAAGATCCTTCCCCCTGTTTGGCCCACAATAGTGGTAGAAACATAGGGGTTAGGTACAGGCTCTGGAGTCAGACGGCTGGCATGTAACTCATAGCTCCAGCACTAAGTTACTTTGAGGCTTCCTCAAAGCCAATTCATGTATTTGTGTCTCAGATCTCTCATTTGTGAATGGGCATACGAATTGTACCACTTTATAGAGTCAATATCCATCTTAAATGAGTTGTAGAAAATCCCCTGAGCACAGAACATGGCAAAATAGCCTGTGTCTAGGGGCGCCTGGGTGGCTCAGTTGGTTGGGCGACTGCCTTCAGCTCAGGTCATGATCCTGGAGTCCCAGGATCGAGTCCCACATCGGGCTCCCTGCTCAGCAGGGGGTCTACAATAATGATGGCCAGCAGGGATTGTTTACTGGATCACAGGGCCTGTGTCCAAGAGGGGCCTATGGGATATAATGCCAATCATGTATGTTATAAAAACCCAACCTTATACTTTGGGCAGAGCTTGAACCTTTTCTTACTTCTGATAAGTTTGAAAGTCCATTGTATACTAGTTGAAATAATATTCTATACAAAGTAATTGTCCTAAGCTCCCTTTACTCAAGCTTCGAGAGTACACTGTACACAATTACGTCAGGAGTTGTTGCTAACATCCTGCTAAACCACTGTTCACAGAAGACCGTATCTATCATCTACATCTGTGTCTTCAGTGCCTGGCACATAAGAGCTCATGAAATACCTGTTGCATAAAAGTGAAGAAATGAACACCTGGATGGGAAACAAAGAGTCAATTCATTAGTATATAATTCATTAGTATTTCTCAAGGAAAGTACGAGTGTAAATTCAGTCAAAATCTTGCCGTATTTCAGTACTTCTTTAAAGATACTTTATGAAGAAAAAAATTACATATATCCATGAACGTTACCAAATTT